GGGTGTGGGGTGTGGGGTGTGGGGTGTGGGGTGTGGGGTGTGGGGTGTGGGGTGTGGGGTGTGGGGTGTGGGGTGTGGGTGGGTGTGGATGTGGTTGTGGTTGTGGAGTGTGGGTGTGGGTGCGAGTGTAGATGTGGATGTGGGTGAGGCGTGGGTGTGGAGTAGGAGAAAGACTACACCTACACCCTTGAATATGGAAAAATGTGATTTCTTTCTAGAAAAAAAACAACGATTTTGAATTTTATGTGTATATTCCGACAGTGTTACAATGTTTGATTAATGTCCTTCGATTTGTGTCATGAGAGCCATCTTTGTTTTATAATTTTCACCAATTCCATTCGAAAATCATACAAATGAAGTGTAATTGCAATTGCACTGACGATAAGAAATGAAATAAAGAGACCGCCTATTACAGTGAATGAAATTCCGTCTCGTTCCCATATCTTCTCGACATTTGTAATATTATTACATGTTCGTTTTGAAAACCATTTTTGCTCTAGTGATTCTAGTTCGCCTGATTCACGTAATGTAACAATGTTTACATCAAGGTCAAGTTTGTATCGCCAGTTTTTGGCCATAACAATACCGTATGTTGATTTAGCAAAACCGACACCGATCACTGATAGATTACCACAATAGTGTCGATCAACAGCATATTCAATGGATAGTGCATCTCCTAGCGCAGCATCGATGTAATTATTGAGCAAAAGCGTATAAATATCAGGTACACTTTTCACAGGATAGAACTCGTTAGATATATACGATGTATAAAATTCCTCAATAGCCGAGTTACTTAGCACTCCGATGCGATCAAAACGTAAACGACCATTTTTGATATCATCAATGCCAGATATAGGTGGTTGAGTACGTTGTAATGTGAGATATGACGACAAATTAGCCGTATATGTAGCCACTAGAAGGACACTTAATGTGAATAATCCAATAACTATTATCCGACTTGATTTTGTTCGCAAAGGTAAATCACTGCCCATACCAATGACAGTACTCAGTGCTTGATAAACACCAAAAATTATCGCTCGAAGTCCTCGACAATCTTGTGTTTCTTCAATTGTCCGTCGTTCGAATAAAAAAACAAGTAATCCAGAATATATTACTATGCCAATGATTGACAACCAAACTTCAAGGGAGAATGGACGAAGATACGATAAGAAATTCACTGAAATTGGTGAACTGTCTCGAACAATGACTCGAATGGCAGTTTCATAAATAGGTACTGAAAAATCAACCGTTAAGAGACGATTCGAAGTAATTGTTATGTCTGAAATGATTATATCCCAGGTACCATTGATCGAATTCAATTCAGCTAGAGTGTTATATGACATAATTGATAGGCACGGATAGATCATTGGTGTAAATCCCATTTTCGTTTGCAATGCAACAATAAGATCGGCCACATAACCATAGATTTCAATGTTCTCGTCTTCAGTTTTAAGAAAGTTTATATTCAATGGTTTTTGCTGTGTGGAAGACTTATTCCAAAACATAGAAAATGGAGTTGAATTAATAACATGAATATTCAACTTTTTACCTATATCGAAAAAACATAGATCACATATGTTCACCATATGATTACCGTCAACGACTGGGCTATTAATACTTAACTGAGCCATCTTAACAACTAAAACTGCAGACCTTAATTCGATTCATCAGTCTCCTGTGTTTTGACCACATATTTTATAATAATAAGTGTCTTTTATTCTGACCAGAAGTATTCATGTTTCAGGTGAGTCTTGAATTGCTCAAACTTTTTGTAGGATTCAAATTTGAATTAGACAAAAGTCTGTTAACACTTTCTATCGCAAGATATTATTATAATAGCATGTCTAAAATAGGGATTGCTGATGTTACTAATGTGGCTACTAATATTGATTTTGGAAGTCATAAATTACATGTAATTAGATGCACAGAAATCAGTAAGAAAAAAAAATTTTATGCAGATCTCTGTTAATGCTATCTATCTGCTGCTTTATCAATGAAAAATGACAAAACACTGCCGGACAGAAGCGGCAGAACTAATTGAATTCGATTACTACACATGTTAAAATTATAATTCAAATGACTATGTAATATGAACAATCAATAATAAAATTTCACTGAATAAATAATATTATCAATCAATAAAAATTACCTGAGTGTTTTTTAGTACGATCGTCGCTCTTTCTATCATGGACTAATATATATTATCGAACATCTTCATTTAAAACATACTTCAAGTAATCATCATCACACAGTAAAATTCTCTTACTAGGCTACTATCAACAACATCATCGGTTTTGTGAAAAAAACAGTTGTAAAACACGCGGCAAAATATCGTAAGCAAATTTAACTCTTTTGAAAATTTATTGAATTAATATGATTTTTTGTTAACCAACCATAAATCGAATGATTTAAGTGTCGAATTAATTTTTCAAAGAAATATTTTATAGATTCTGTGTCTAAGTTCCGATATATTTCGAAAGAGAGAAGAAAAGCTGTTAGCAGAATTCCTGCGGGATTAAAATGTGAAACACGATCAAGCTTTTTCACATCGTAAATTAGGAATGTACCAACGTGTCTGTCACGTCTGTAACCGGGGGAAGAGGGCGAAGGCGTTGCTAAGGTGTCTGTCGCGTCTGTGATGTGCCATTGCTAAGGACACCTGTCACGTCTGTGGGGGGAGTGGGTGCAAATTTCTACCCCTATACACTGTAACACTCTCTTTTAGATCATATTTCACAAAAGAAGCAATGACAATCATTTCTCTTACCTAAAAATTGTAGATAATCTCTCGGTATGTTTTTGGATCTAGTCGGCCAGACAATTTGTTGTCCAGTAAAACTTTGCCATTTTTCATTTTTTACAATAGATTCGTCGTGCCATTTCATGATGCTTTCATATTTGAGTTTATGTTTGTTTTTATCGAATTGCAAATTTTTCAGTACATAAGAAATACCAGATACGCGATCATTTGAAAGATTACTTAGAAACGAAAGAATGCTATGTTGTTTGTCGAAGGGCACATAGTCGCAAGATTTTTGGTTGAAATATTTTTGTCGATAAACGTTTTCGTAGAAAAGACATTTCGTTGAAAAGATATTTTCTCGAAGAGAAGTTTCGTCGAATGGCATCATTTCTTTGTTCCATTTTATTGCCAATGGTCAATTTCCGGGTGAACGACGTACAGTGGGAAGTGGCCGGGATGCGCCGAAAAATACTAGGAAGTTGAAAGCAGTATTCCGGCTGGCAATTTTTCGGACTTTTTTCGATGGATTCCGGCAACTTCACGTGCTGTCCGGAAATCATCGGAAAAAATCCGGAAAATTCTTCATCCGAATATGCTTCCACGTTCCAGCTATCTTCCGTGTTTTCCTGTAGAATACGGTAACTTCCCATGCATTTCCTTGCCAGTTCCTGTAGCATCCTTTCTCTAAAATCATTGACCTGGGTCGACTCAAAAACGTCTCTTCAATTGTTTCGTCTTTCGCCGACAACGAGATAAAAGTCTCAGGCCGCTGTCGAGTTCATGATGCAATTATTTTAATTATTTAAACATACGCACACTTCCACTCGTCATTTTTCTGTCTTGCACTTTCATGGTGAATTCGTACTCTACGTAAAGCCGTCGTTTCTTGTTTTCATCTTGTTTAGTCCTTCATATTGTCTACTCAATATGGCCACCGTTATTGTCAAATTTTCCACAACATCGAAAGGAAAGTGATCACTGATCTGACTATTTCTTGAAATTGATCTTTTTTTTTGATGATCTATGTTCCATGAAATGTGCATTCGGCCCAAAAAAAATCGACAATATGTGTCTTCAACGAAGTGTGCTTTCCACGAAAAATCTTTCGATTAAAAAAAATTCTATGAAACGTTTTTTGACGAAATGTTCTTTCGACAAAAATAATTCGGCCAACAACATACTTACCGAAATGAAATATGACCAGAAATTCCCAGAAAATCAGTTTTTCTCAAATATCTGTGATATACAAGAGCATTTTCTAATGAACTATTAAAACAATTGGATGACGAATTGAACCAAGGTATTGATGACTGTTTATGGAACGATGTTTTATTTAATGCCATAATCAATGTCCATGTTGCATCAAATGCAAACGATGCCAATGAACTAATACCGATACCATGAGAAAATAGCTCTTGATCGTGTATGTCGGACGAATTTCGCCACGCTATTAAAGCATCTTTGTATAGTGCTTCATTAATTTTCCATGAATTGTCATAATCGTTACTACTACCAACTTCCATTGGTACCACGCTGAGAAGGCCTTCGAGTTGGTCCGACATTTTATTTGATTCGAGCGTCATCTATGGAAATGTATTCAAATTGAGTTGGGGAACGTTGGTCGAATGATTTTTCGTCGAACGAACTGTTCGTCAAAGATTTTTAGTCGAAAAACCTTTCGTCCACAGTTTTTTGGTCGAAAGATTTTTCGTCGGAATTGACTGGAATAGTAGCATTTACTATTTATTCTTCAATGGTCTATATATGTAGACTATTGAAGAATAAATATTAAATGCTGCTATTCTAGTCAATTTCGACGAAGAATCTTCGACGAACAGTCCGTTCAACGAAAAATCTTTCGACATTCGACGAATTGTCTATTCGATGAAAAATCATTGAACCAACGACTCCTTTCCCTTCAAATTTACCTTTGTATTCGTTCAAAATTGTTTTTACATATGTGAACTATCGTAAATGAAGTTTTTTGTCGGAATACTCGAGTCAAAAGATTCCTATTGTAGATATCTCCGAGTTTTTTGCTGAAAACCCTTCCGAACATGGGTATTTTTGTAATCCGGACTGTGAACACTTTTTTCCGATCCCACCTGCGGTGAACAACCTCTTCAAAGTGGATAATCGTTAAGCTGACTGTATGTTCTTCGCCTAGACAAATGTACATGTGCATGCGCACTAAGTAGATTAGTATGCGACAGAAGTTGAGTTTATACAGAGGAGTCCTGAGCTAGTATGGAAATGTTCGGGATCGTAGGAGGTCCGGAAAGATTTGTGTTCAGCGTGACAGAATCGATATCGCAATAAAAAAGCCAGTCCCGTCAGTCTCCAATTGTAGTAAAAAGACAACTGAGAGAAAATAAACTAAATTTAAGCAGAGAAGTGATAGACCAAGCAGACAGGGGAAATTGAACAAACATTTTTATGTACTTATAGGCAACGATATGAATTGGCACTACTACGGACTATTTCAAAGAGAATTAACGAAGTTATAAGGGTTTTCAATAAATAATGAGAAGTTAAGGGGACCCCCCCCCCTTTCCGGCGTTTTTACGAAACGGCCGAACGAAAATTCCTGGAACTTGCAGGGTAGATAGACCTCGAGTAGTAGAGCAAAAGTTGTCATAGACACAAATTTGCCAGACGTCATCTTCATGGACTTCCAGAGACCCCAAGGTCAAAAACTTGCAAAAAGTTTCCCCCCCCCCCCCGCAAATCCACAAATTTCATCCGTTTGAGCTGAAATTTTTGCTGTGGGTAGACGGATCCAATCGGGGTGGGCGTTTTTTCTTTTTTTTCAAAAATTCCAAATACTTCAGGCTGGAGAACCAAAATACTGAGCACCTTGCAAAATCTCTAAGTTTTTTGGATCCTAAAAATTTTGCGAAGCCTGCCAAACTTGATTGGTAGAAGGTATCCAAAAAAAAACAAAACGCCCAACCCAAATCACTTGAAGTCTCACCAAAACAATTTTCAGCCCGATCGGACTTGAAATGGCGGAGAAAAAGGGGGAAAACTTCATTTTTTTGCTGAAAAAACTGATTTTGAGAAAAACGCAAAAAAATTTGTGTTTTTTTGGTTTTTTCAGCATTTTTTGTGATTTTTTTCGACTTTTTTATATATAAGATGTGGTTTTTCAGTTCTCAAAATGTACTCAATGGATAGAGGGCATTTAAATCTATATACTAATCACAAAAAATGAAAAATGAAAAGTGTGAAAATTTTGAGTCGGGAAAGGGGGGGGGGTCCCCTTAACCTAAATATACACTTCTGTACGAAATAAGCTTGAAAAAGGGGAGTGAAATACAATTTAGTGACTATAGAAATGACTTCGGACAAAAAACGTTGAAAGACCTCTTAAAAGTGGACGCCTCCCTTGAGTGGACACTTTGAAAAGTTCCTTTAGGTGTCTATTATAGAGAGGCTATACTGTATACCACTCTTTTTTGACTTCTTTAGTCCTTTTCTCAAAGACCCTGGACAAAACCCCGCATCGGATTCCGTAGTTTGCAAGAAAAGGCAATAACTTTCCTTACATGATACTGTATGGGATTTCTGTAGTCCGCATCCGATGCCCGTTGACACTTTCATACAAAATTCGATAGTTGGATCGATGTTATATATCAT